GAGGAGGCCAGCGGGCTGCAGGCAACCCCCCCCCCCCCTCTCTCTCTCTCTCTCTCTGCCCAGACTTGTGGAAGATGAGGAAATGCATTTCAGATGATATGCCTAGGAAAAAATACACAGAGAGCACTGTGTCGAAAACTTTAGTTAGAAATACGTGTGGACATTCCCTGCTTGTATACATGCGGATATTGAGTAATTAGAAACTAGATTACTATGTTTTCTGAAGAAAATGCAAGTGGTGTTTGATCATGCAAAAGATGCCACCATTATGCTGATGTGTTTTTGGTCATCATAAGGCCACCGTGAAATACTAATCTGTAAATATGGCTTGCTGTGTCTTTGTTGTTTTAACATTTTTCAAAATTTTTTCTATTTTTATTTATCATAGTTTTCATTCATTTTTATTCCAGTTTTAGATTTAGTAATTTTAGTACTTCAACTTCAAATAATCAAAAATGAGAAATAAAATAATTATTTACGATTTTAACCCTGAACCTGAGATGTAGCAGAGCTTACCTATGATATAATTTAACCAATTAATATTGTCATGGTGAATTCCTTGGCTATTTCTCAACATAAATGAAGATTTGTGTGATGCTCATTCTTTTTTCTTTTTTTTCAGTTTACAGGCACAAATGAGCATGTATCATATTTTATATGACTTGTAACTTTTGCTTAATTATATTCGATGAATGATGATTTATCACCACACATTTTTTTTCACACACAGACTCTCTGGAATTTTAGCAATCGGTAGTAAATTATAGCTTGTATCAGAAATGTGCTTTTAATGTGAGCATAATTTAATATCAGAACTTTCTCAATTACCTTAAAAAGCCTAGAAAAGTGAAATCCATTTGTGAGCAGCTATTTCAACTTTAAAAAATCAATTAGGTTGATTTATCACCGTAATGTTCTTTGCTTTGCACTTTTCTTGCCTGAGGTTCACGCTCTACATCCACCCTCTATACACACACACACACACACACACAAATCTCTATTGTTGCCAAATCCAGCTCTTAATTACCTCTAATTATCAAGCATTTGCCAAGATACAGCAAAATGACTGTTTAAACCCAGTCACACTACCTACCATGACCTCTAGCAGAACGGCATGACCTTTGAGGAGCTGTATGCTATAAAACACACAACATAATGTGTTATACTGTACGCTTTTATGTAACATAGTCTTATGTTTGCTTCTCACAGTTTTCCAGACCGATGGTGGACTGTGAAGGGGTTTCAATGGATACTCATGTGGAAAAGGAGAGAGGAGGTGAGGAGAAGGAAGGTGGGAGAAGTGCGTCTATCCTCTCCCCACAGCTGAAAGCCATGATCCGAATCAAGAAGAAATACCTAAAGAAATCTAATTCAGTCAGGTTGGCTCATAATACTAACTCGGTTGTGTCTGATGGGAGTTTGCACCCTAAGAGTCCCCAAACCAGGAAGTCCAAGCGCAGGAAGTCCCGCGTGCTGTTCCCAAATGACACTTTGATATTCAAGCCAAAGAAAGAGCGCAGCAGAGCGAATCCTTTCCTGCTGCTCTTTAGCATGATCGTCTTCATCCAGGTAATTCTGCCTGCTCTTTTCGTTGAGTGTCATTTTTGTACTAGAACTGAAAAAGCAATGTTTTTTTTTTTTTAAAGAAGTGACCATACATCCTCTTTTTCCCGGACATGTCCTATTCCATTTCTAAATTGCCTAAAAGGTCCAGGTTTTGGCTTTCTTTCCCTATTGTTTTTATACTAATAACTAAAAAGAAGGCTGACCAATGGCATGCAGGCATTGTACATAATCGACCAATCATGGCATGCAGGAAGGCGGGATAGAGAGAAGAGTCAAAACAGTGTAGATATCCATATATATATATATATATATATATATATATGTATTCGGATTGTAGAGAGACTGCCAATAGGAAAACAAAGCCACAACCTGGACATTTTAGGCAATTTAAAAATCCCGACCAGGACATGTCCGGGGAAAATTGGATGTATGGTCACCCTATCTAAAATCAGTGTTGTTCAATTTATATATATATATATATATAAGGCAGTATAACTTAAACTTAGGAAAAACTATATAGACATGTTTTAAACAAAAAAAAAACTAATAAAAATGACAAAAACACAACAACAAAATTACTATTTTATATATAATATAAATAAACCTGAAATAGAATATAAATATATTAAAAACCTATATATTAAAAACCTAATTTTTGAAACTTTAGAAATTTAACAGAAATAATACTGTACCTCAAATTACTAAAACAAAACCTGAAATAAAAATAAATTAAAGATAAATGGAAAAAAGAACATTAATAATAACTAATAAACATGACAGAAGCACATAACAAAATTTCTAAAACATATACTAAAATTAAAATAGAAAGTGTAAAAAAGTCATTCAAAATATTACCAAATACTGTAATAATATATATAATCTCATTTTGCAAAACATTCATTTTGCCATTAATTGTACTATTCCAGTGAGATTTTTGTATGCACAAGGAGTCTGACAACAGATGCTCCACAAAATTTCAAAAGAACTGCCTTAATTAAAACAATGTTTTTGATGAAAAATCTAGCATGACCAAAACTTTTGCACAATATGTTCTTTTCACAAGAAAACTATGAACAAAAAAATTGCTGTTGTAATATTATAACAATGCAATTGTCATAACAATGTTAAAATAATTTAATATAACTGTATTTACATGCATAACTTTTTATTAAAAGATTCTGTTCCTGTTCTCCCAGGTCTACAATGCTATTGAGAATCTGGACGACCAGGTGTTGAAGTACGATCTTGAGGGTTTGGAGAGGTCGCTGCACAGGGAGGTGTTCGGCCACCCGGAGGCGCTAGAGGAGCTCATGGACCATCTGAACGATTACCTTTCCACTTACGCCCATCAGAAACCCCTCGCCCTGTCTTTGCACGGGGCGTCCGGCGTCGGGAAGAGCCACCTGGGTCGCCTACTGGCACGCCACTTCCGCTCCGTGGTCGACGACAAGCTAGTGGTGCATTATTTATCCAAACACCACTGCCCCCTACAGGACGCGGCGCAGCACTGCGCCTCCAAACTAGCTCAGCGTATATCAGAGGTAGTGACTCGAGCTGAGGAAGAGGAGCAGATTCCCTTCTTCATCCTGGATGACGTGGAACTGATGCCGCCTCCGCTGCTGGACATCCTGCAGACATTTCTTCAGACGAATCAGACGAATGAGTTTCTGAACGTGGTTTATGTTTTCCTCAGCAGTCTGGGGCAAAGGGAGATCACAGCTCACGTTCTTCAAAACGCCTCTACCGCCGGAGCCCACAAACCGCTCCGACAGGCCCTGTCTCTCATCCATCCTCTATGGACGGAGCCCGCGGTCGAGCTCATACCTCTTTCCCTGCTGGAGCGGGAACACATCATACAATGCTTTCTTGAGGAAATGACCCTCGAAGGGTTTTACCCCGACCTCAGTCATGTAGAGAGACTGGCGGATGAACTGGCCTATCACACAGCAGCTGGAAGACAGTACGCAAAAACCGGATGCAAACAAGTAGTGGGAAAAGTGAACCTGCTTTGAGAGAGCTTTTGAAAATGTGCACTGTTTTTCACTATTCCTCTATTTTCAGTCATCCCAAAATCGCATTTCAATAACATACACTATACCAAAAGAAATTCATACTTTTATTCAGCAAGGATGCATTAAATGGATCAAAAGTGATTGATTTCTATTCCAAGTAGATGCTGTTCTTTTGGACTTTCTATTCATCAAAGAATCCTGAAAATAAATGTCACTTTTTCCACAAAATATGAATCAGCACAACTGTTTTTAAAGGGGTCATATGATGTTGAAAGAACATTTGTTGTTGATGTTGATGATGTTGTTGTTGTTGTTGACATTGTTGTTGTTGATGATGTTGTTGTTGTTGTTGATGTTGTTGTTGTTGATGATGGTGATGTTGATGTTGATGTTGTTGATGTTGTTGTTGATGATGATGTTGATGTTGACGTTGTTGTTGATATTGTTGTTGATGTTGATGTTGTTGTTGTTGTTGTTGTTGATGATGTTGCTAATCAACATTATGTCACAAATATTGCCATTAACTTACTTATTAAACCCAGAACTTAAAAAAATTAATAAATAAATAAAGTCACTGAGTTTCAAGTGAATGAAACACACAGGAAAACAAACTGCAAAATTACTTTCTCAAAGTGATCGTTATCCATAATGCTTTGATAATAGCCTTAAGGGAGGAGCGTTTGTGAAGAGAATCATCAAATTATATTTAATCTGGCTGCTTGTTGCAGCATTGAAATATTTAAATTGTGTTTTACCGTATATAGAAGCACTGCTGTTTTTGCTTGGTTGTTGTTTGGGTTTGTTTCCTCCGCTGTGATTGGCAGGTTGATCTTGATTTCACCCTTGTGTGTATATGCGTGTGAGAGACAGAAGCCTGGTTACCACCACAAATCATTTTTGGATCCCAATTACACAGCCCATACCTGCCTATAGCCCTCTGTCTGAGAATGCTGAGCATAACAAGATCCCTTTTAATCACTTCGAGACACGGCCGAAAAAGCAAAAGTCACGCGATCACCGCACATGCACACACTTTCCATGTGAAATACCTTCCATCTGGAGAAAATGTCTTGAAATATGAGTAATTCTGACTGTACTAGCAAAGCATTTGCAATATATTAAGAATTCATTTAGATATGCATGGCTTTTCCACATTGCAAGAGTATTTTTAATGCAATCTGGCTTTTCCTGTTCCATATTTCCTGTTCGTGCTCATACTTTAGTCTTTTTTAAGCCTGATTTTTAGGCGTAATCTCCCACTGGCACCACAATGGGTTAGCATTAACCCAGGGTTAAAATCTGTGCAAAAATGTAAAAGAAAAAAAAAGTGCTTATGCCGGGGTAAAGCATAATTTCAAATACATCTGCAATTTTTAGTCTGATTCAATAAATTGATTTATAATTCTTTGAACAAGTCCCCACATGTCATTTTTAATGTATTGGTATAAACATTTGTTGTTTAATATTCTGTTGTATTGTAAGACTTGATAATTATTAACTAGATTTTTACTGTACTTGACATCTGAGTGCAATTGCGAATTAAATTACAGAAAAAATCAAGAGTAACCTCTTACTTTAAGGGAAAAGTAATTAATTAATTTTGTATATATATACAGTGGGTACGGAAAGTATTCAGACCCCCTTAAATTTTTCACTCTTTGTTATATTGCAGCCATTTGCTAAAATCATTTAAGTTAATTTTTTTTCCTCATTAATGTACACACAGCACCCCATATTGACAGAGAAACACAGAATTGTTGACATTTTTGCAGATTTATTAAAAAAAAAGAAAAACTGAAATATCACAAGTCCTAAGTATTCAGACCCTTTGCTCAGTACTTAGTAGTCTGTCAATATGGGGTGCTGTGTGTACATTAATGAGGAAAAAAAATTAACTTAAATGATTTTAGCAAATGGCTGCAATATAACAAAGAGTGAAAAATTTAAGGGGGTCTGAATACTTTCCGTACCCACTGTATATATATACACACATGATATATTGTATAAAGCCATAACTCCCTGCTCTAATTCTGCATAGTTACTTTCATTTCTTTTTCCCAGCACACATTCCCACCTTTTTATTGCAAATAAAACACGTGCCAAGCAGTGTCAATGTTGAGACATGCATAATCTTGTCAGCAGCATTTACAGTCAGTTCAATTATGTGCTTTGAACTTTCTGGTAAATCAGTGTGATTCAAAATAGTTGAAAAGGCAGTGGAGGAGTGCTGGAGGGGTCCAATTTTTGTGTCTCGCACAAACTGACAATACAGCAAACAGCACCACAACCGATTTAGAGTTTGCAAAGAAGCATTACTGTCCTTTGTGTCATTTGGCAAAATAAAAAGAAATTTGAAAGGTAACGGGTCAAGCGTGAAGGTTTGATTGTGTGTCTGATCTCTAGATTGCGTGCAGCTATTGTGAGCAAAGAGTTAATATCCGAGGGAAGATGGAGAAGAGGGCCAGAACATTCCTCCGTTTTGTGGTTCAGCCCAACACCAGACTGACTTTCCATAGCTGCCAGCAATTTCACTGCAACAGGATCTTTCAGCGCACCAGAACTTTCCACTGCTGCACTACTGTACATTATACAATACCATAGACTTGCACATTTGCTGCTTTATTAAATTGATTTTGAATATGAAGTTGTTTAAAGTGGCAGATTGCAATGGAAACAGGAAAACACGGTGAAGCAACCCGGATAAAAACGTACAAAATATCCTATTAATTAAATCAGGAACTGAAAACACACTGCACTAAAAAAAAAAAAAAAAAAAAACTTAACTCCTGCTTTTGCAGAGCCAGAGTTTCACTAAGAGTGAAGCAAATCTCAGGTCTGTTAACAGCAGTTTTACCTCCTGTGTGGAAATGAAAACAGTTTCCTGGCATGCACTTATTGTAGAATGAACTCTATTGTTTTAGTAAGGCAAGAATCATTTTATTATTGCTTACGGTTAGTGATTTAAACAAACTCTTTGGCCTTTGTCCTGCACTCTCAAAAAATTAAAAAAAAGGTAAAAAAGCTGTCACTGGGGTGGTACAATTTTCAAAAGGTACATTTTTATCTCTAAAGTGTGCATGTTAGTACCTAAAATGTACCTTTGAGGTACTAATATGCACCTTTAGGGATAAATAAGGTATAATAATGTACCTTTTGAGTGTGCCTTCTGGGGTGGTACCTTTTCAAAAGGTACACCTCTGTACCTTTCTTCTCCTTAAAGGGTGCAAATTAGTACCTCAGAGGTACATTTTAATACCTAAATGGTGCAATTTAGAAGGGTACCACCCTACTGACAGCGTCTGTACCTTTTTGTTTTTTTCTGAGAGTGTACAGATGTGAATGATTTGTGAAGTGGATTTGATTTTGATCTGCCAGACTATAAAAGATTTTTAAAAATACACATACTAACACTAAAAGAGGCCCCCAAGCCATATTTAGGGACCAGAATATCATATAGAGTCTTAGGATTGGGCTCTTTTAACTTAGGCCAGGAATCAACCACCTAGCAACCACCCAGAACCAGCAACACACTAAAAAGACAACTTTAGCTATTGCAAAGCAATGTCTTGACGACGACAAACTCAATTTAATTCATTAAATAAATAATACATAAACGTATGCTTATAGAGATACACACACAAATTTAAGATTTTTAAATCTTAAAAATAAAAAAGATTTTTATGTAAATAATATATATATATAGTATATAAATATAATCAATCAATCAATCAACAAATGTATATTCTTATAGAATTAGTGCATATTTTTATTATTATTATTGTGCATATATTATTATTATTATTGGTGCATAAAAATGAATCAAGTGTTACTGTTTTTGATACTCGCATTTTTTATAAAACTTTTGTTAGATCAATTTAATATAATGTGGTTACAAGTCTCAGAATCTGACTATGCATTTTATAATCTTTATTTTAGCTATAAAAGCAATATCAAGGGTTAAAACCACATTGTTCATTCTGACGTTGGGTAGTTCCATCTCTGAGGCTGATCCTAAATGTTTTAACAACTTAAGAGTTTGTGCATGACCTATGTGTAAGTTCATTTGTGAGTGATGCGGCAGCTACTATATAAACACGCCTCCACAAACAGCCGGTCACGAAGTGGAAATCATTCACAACTACGGCATCATCTAAAAGATAACGTGACCCCATCACTCACCCAAAACAAATACATCCTGATAAACACTAATTGCACATTTTCAATGTTTGTGTGGGTGGTGATTATAAGGACTGTTATCAAATTCAAATCTGACTCTACTGCCCATCAGTCATGTGTGTAGGAGCCTGTTCTTCAGATGAGTGAATTGTCAGGTTTCCATGGCCACAGTGGAACAAATGAGCATTTATGAGGAGTACTTTGAAGGTCAGTGTCTAAAATAATCCTGTGCGGAATGTAAAAACACTGAACATTCTCCTTCAGGTGTCTCCATGAGATCTCGGAAACGCTCAGGATGTTCTGTCTGCTTTCGTTGTGCCTCAGGCCGCTCACTATACCATTTAGATGTCTGTGATATTATCACTGAGGACTTTTAGTAATATTTTCTAAAAACTGTCTTCAAACCACTCAAAATAGCACCAGCAGCACATGTGGATACTGTTTCAATTCATGTATCACTTTCAAATCAAGGATGAATGAAATTGATCAAAATGACAGTAAATACTTCTACATTGTTACATCTGTTTTCAACAGTGATAATAATAAGAAATATTACTTGAGCACCAAATCAGCATATTAGAATGATTTCTAAAGGATCATGTGACACTGAAGACTGGACTAATATTCATCTATTTGTTAACTTATATTTTGCGCTAATATATATATATATATATATAATGTGTTTAATTGTTAATATGTTCTTTGTGCCATCATAAAATACTTGTCCATAAAATTGCCAGCTTGTTATCATTTTATATATACAATTTAAATATACCATATATATATATATATACATTGTGTGTGTGTGTGTGTGTGTGTGTGTGTTTTGGTATATTCTCTAAACTTAGTTGTGATTTCTTTACTATATACAATAAACATTTTTTTTGTAACTTCATGCACTGGAC